TCATTTCATGAGTGTGCATTAATGCTGAATAAAACAGGAGCTCTACAATGTTACGTACACACTGTACTTTGTACCAGCGGCTTTTGGCAGTTTTGCTTGAACGCTAGCCTGCGACTTCGCAACATGCGTCTCTTGTTGCGAATCTTAGTGGCAGCTGCTAGGTATAGACGTACCACGTTGATGCCATCATGGGAAACGGAAAGAAACCTTGTCTTTCCTATTCACAGAGTCATGCAGTGCTGGCTTGCTTGCACCATGAGTACATCAAAATTAATGGAAATGTGTTGGAAGTCTCTGATTCTTCGGAGGAAGAGAGTGAGGAAGATGAGTACGAGACAGAGGAGGATAATAAGGAAGATGAGAACGAGGCAGAGGTGGAGGATGAGCCGGGTGAGGCATGCGCACGACTGCCCAAAGCCAAAGGAGCAAGCATATCGAGGGTTAGATCACGTATATTGTACTTTTTCAAACCACACAATATACTACAGAACTAAATATTGCGACAGAGCTTTCGGCCATATTTTCAATTCATTGCATTCCCAACTCATCACAACCACGCGCTCTTCAGCCGAACCATACAGACACCAGCAAGGACACTTCCGTTGAGAGATAATATTGCTCCACGCCTCTAGGCAGCTGTTTCGCTCCCTGTCGGAGCTCATCAGTAGAGGATGATAATGATGATAATGGAGGAATGATCATTCTTATACACCAGAAATGGCGCGAGTCCGCGCTTTCCACATATATCAATGGCATATGCAAGCTGCTAAAATGGTAAAGTGTGAGAACAGCGATAAATAATCATAGTACGCGCTCATTGGTGGAGAAACACACCACACAGGCGACGAAAATCTTACGCGGAATACTGATGCCAATGGAAAGTACATGCATGTTGTTTATTATTATGATATTGCAATGTCCATGTATGCAGGCGAGGTGAGACTCACCGCCGAGATCCCCAACGCGACAGGCTCGGTTGCCGTTCAGGATTCACACCGACCTGTCCGCCCGTCAACAGGATCGACAGCGGGAGGCCCCACTGATGCCGATGTCGATGCACACCAGGAAACTAATGTCTTGTAGTCGTGAGTGTGATACTAACAGGTCTAGTAGCAACCACTGACACACGAGAGGCCAGCTGGGGCATTCACTCCAGTCAGGGATGCTTGGTCGACGCTTCGTATCAGCAGCTCAGCTCAGTTTGATCAAACAAAGATGTTGCAGATGTGTCTTGCTTTTCTCCTTCCTTCTTCACCGACTCGTCTTGTCATCTCTCCTTCTTTCTTCACCGACTCTTCATGTCCACTCTGCTCTGCCACTAACGGCGCATTAAAACTTCAGAACTAAATATTGCGACAGAGCTTTCGGCCATATTTTCAATTCATTGCATTCCCAACTCATCACAATGAGTTGTGATGAGTTGGGAATGCAATGAATTGAAAATATGGCCGAAAGCTCTGTCGCAATATTTAGTTCTGAAGTTTTAATGCGCCGTTAGTGGCAGAGCAGAGTGGACATGAAGAGTCGGTGAAGAAAGAAGGAGAGATGACAAGACGAGTCAGTGAAGAAGGAAGGAGAAAAGCAAGACACATCTGCAACATCTTTGTTTGATCAAACTGAGCTGAGCTGCTGATACGAAGCGTCGGCCAAGCATCCCTGACTGGAGTGAATGCCCCAGCTGGCCTCTTGTGTGTCAGTGGTTGCTACTAGACCTGTTAGTATCACACTCACGACTACAAGACATTAGTTTCCTGGTGTGCATCGACATCGGCATCAGTGGGGCCTCCCGCTGTCGATCCTGTTGACGGGCGGACAGGTCGGTGTGAATCCTGAACGGCAACCGAGCCTGTCGCGTTGGGAGATCTCGGCGGTGAGTCTCACCTCGCCTGCATACATGGACATTGCAATATCATAATAATAAACAACATGCATGTACTTTCCATTGGCATCAGTATTCCGCGTAAGATTTTCGTCGCCTGTGTGGTGTGTTTCTCCACCAATGAGCGCGTACTATGATTATTTATCGCTGTTCTCACACTTTACCATTTTAGCAGCTTGCATATGCCATTGATATATGTGGAAAGCGCGGACTCGCGCCATTTCTGGTGTATAAGAATGATCATTCCTCCATTATCATCATTATCATCCTCTACTGATGAGCTCCGACAGGGAGCGAAACAGCTGTCTAGAGGCGTGGAGCAATATTATCTCTCAACGGAAGTGTCCTTGCTGGTGTCTGTATGGTTCGGCTGAAGAGCGCGTAGTTGTGATGAGTTGGGAATACACAATATACTAAATTTCCAAAATAGCATTCCGTATGCACCCTCAAAGTACTTTGAAGACTGTCGACGTAGGGTTCTGATTTACTGTTATTCACTGCTAGTTTATGATAGCAACTTCAGTTCAGTCCACATTCAGTCCACATAATTTTGAAATAGTATCACCATAATCTACTTTCAAAGTACTAGGTACTTCCAATAGCAGTATTCCATGCAGTGTGACTTACATTATGACACAATGCCATATGAGTGGTTCACATTGCCTTTTCAACTAGCATTACAAGTCCAAATTAGCATTCTAACGAGCATTATATGACCGTATAACTAGCAATGCTAAAAGTATTTTGAGCTGAAATAACTAGCATTACCCGCCGAGGCCTAAATCTATTATCTTTATACATTACTGGTATTACGTTCTCAAACTCAAACTCTCATCACAAAACATGTTTGATTTCATTGAGCAGATCAGAGGGATCCCCCCCCCACCGGGCCCCCATTTGACTGGAAATGGTACAGTCATGGACGATTGATTGCCCAGTTTAGTGAAAAGATTCTCAAAACTGCGGTGTGTTTTGCCTGGGTGAAGTATTTGTCCCTCAACCTCATAAGTCAAGTTTGAGTGGGCTCAGCCAGATTATGCCTGGATAGTAGGGGTGAAACAATTATACCGAATATTCAAGAACTCATGGTTGATAAATATGGTGGTAAAGACACACCTGGCAATATGGCGGTAAACACACACCTGCCCACACACGCTCTCTAGGCTGCAAAGTTCTGGCACAGAGCTCTCCTTCTCACCACCACCACCACCATCAGTTCGCGCCTGGCGCCTGGTCGATGCATGGCTGGTGGTATCCGGCATAGCAGGCTGGTACATCAAGTAGCGCATGGCACATAGATGATGACACAGCAGCGACATAGCTCGATTGCGACGTACGTTTCGTCCCCGTTGGACTCATCAGGCAATCTTCTTCTTGGATGTCTTCATACGGAGCTTGACTCGGGAGAATGTAGTTGAAGACACCACTGCAGCTGTACTTATGGTTGATAAATATGGTGGTAAAGACACACCTGGCAATATGGCGGTAAACACACACCTGCCCACACACGCTCTCTAGGCTGCAAAGTTCTGGCACAGAGCTCTCCTTCTCACCACCACCACCACCATCAGTTCGCGCCTGGCGCCTGGTCGATGCATGGCTGGTGGTATCCGGCATAGCAGGCTGGTACATCAAGTAGCGCATGGCACATAGATGATGACACAGCAGCGACATAGCTCGATTGCGACGTACGTTTCGTCCCCGTTGGACTCATCAGGCAATCTTCTTCTTGGATGTCTTCATACGGAGCTTGACTCGGGAGAATGTAGTTGAAGACACCACTGCAGCTGTACTTATGGTTGATAAATATGGTGGTAAAGACACACCTGGCAATATGGCGGTAAACACACACCTGCCCACACACGCTCTCTAGGCTGCAAAGTGGTGTCTTCAACTACATTCTCCCGAGTCAAGCTCCGTATGAAGACATCCAAGAAGAAGATTGCCTGATGAGTCCAACGGGGACGAAACGTACGTCGCAATCGAGCTATGTCGCTGCTGTGTCATCATCTATGTGCCATGCGCTACTTGATGTACCAGCCTGCTATGCCGGATACCACCAGCCATGCATCGACCAGGCGCCAGGCGCGAACTGATGGTGGTGGTGGTGGTGAGAAGGAGAGCTCTGTGCCAGAACTTTGCAGCCTAGAGAGCGTGTGTGGGCAGGTGTGTGTTTACCGCCATATTGCCAGGTGTGTCTTTACCACCATATTTATCAACCATAAGTACAGCTGCAGTGGTGTCTTCAACTACATTCTCCCGATTCAAGAACTCGCTCGATATTTTCAAAAATTATCATGCTCGGCCCTATATAGCAGAGTACTCGTCAATACATGCTACATGCATTTACCATAGTCCATAAATAAGTACAATCCAATATAATACAATAGTCATCTGCAGTTTGAGAGCAGCAGTCAGTAGATATTGATGTGCAGACTGTGTGGTGAACATTTGTACATGAGTAGAGGGAGAGCCCAAATGACCCACCAATCAATATACCCGAGAACAAGGACTGTCACTTGGTTCAATCGGGGTTGTATCATGTGGTTTTAAGGCCATTGGTGTGGAGTTTTGGAGATGAAGAATACTCGGATAGATACTTGAATTTTTAATCGGAGAAAATCAGAGTCACGCGGCTCGAACTCGGGATCTTCACCCCTACTTTTACCGCTAGCACCACTTCTTTAGTGCTCTCCAGACAAAACAAACACCAGGCCTCACAGAGACGCTCCATTTCCACCCTGACAAACACCAGGCCCCACGGAGACGCTCCGTTCCCACCCTGACAGACACCTTCTGAACGCTAAAATAGGAGAGTGAATCAGAGTGGCCCATCAGTGTGGAATCAGAGTTGAATCAGAGTGGAATCAGTGTGGAGCCATGATCATCATGCAACGCAGTAACCTCAAGACCGGCTATGCACGGACCCAGAATATTTACTGTAGACACAGCCCAATCGTAAGAAGAGGGGAGAGAAGTAGCAGGACAACATAAAAATGGGGAGACAAGCGGCTCCAAGATAGAACCTGTGCTGGTGAGGCAAGAACAAAGCCGTCCAGTGGTCTTGAAGTTACAGCGAGCTTGCGCCCTTTAAGGAGGGAGAGGAGTGAAGACAGAACGGAGAGGGGCTATTGTAGTCACGGAGAGAACGTAGAATGGAGAGGGGATTTTGTAAAGTGGGCATTTGTGGAGCGAGTGCAGAATGTGTGTGGATGTTCAGATATGGAGGTCAGGAGCATACAAAAGCTACAACTGGAGCATGCATCCTGCAGGGTAATTGTTCCTAGAAGGACTCAGTGGCCCAAAGCGTATGGCTACAGTGAAGAAAGTGATTGGCACGCTCTTTGGAGGCTCTTTAGGATATCGCCTCAGTGAGTATGAAATGTAGGGAGCGTGTGCCAGGTGTCAATAATATCTAAATAACAACTCGATCTGCGGACAGAACTGTTTCGTCCCTTGTGGACTCATCAGCGCAGCACAGAGAAAATGAGGCCGAACCTGATAGCAATGAAAAATATATTTTCCAAAGCCAGATTTAAACCAGGCCCAAACGTACCTTGCCAGAGTACTCAAACTGATACGCCAGTGAGCTCTGCATAACGCAAACAGCAAAGGCACTACCCCACAACTAAATGGATACTTATCAGAGAGTTTCCTGTGAGGGTGGATGGGATGCAAGACTCCATTAAGGTGACTGACATTGCACTGCCCACTCTACCTTCACATCTGTCCTCTTCTTTTGTAAACGAACAGCCGATAGTAATGTTTACCGCTGCGGCTATGGTGACGTTGGGTGAACTCTGCGTGGCTTGTGGTGAATGCAACTGCGACAATTCGGTTCTCCTGTCCTGTCCGAATCGTACAGAGCTGTAAGTTCTTCCTCTCACTGTCCTTCTAATTCTTCCAATAGTGTAGTACATGCGTAGTATTTATTCATATTTCTTTAGGGCAGTCCCCACAGACCTATGGTCTCCTTACGGAGTACCCTTGCCAATCTAGGATTGCTAAACGAAATTGACTTGGTGAAGCAGTAAAGGCGGACCGATGCCGGAACTGAGTTCCAGCGGTCAGCGGCTAAAAAAGAAAGAGAGGAATAACCAAATCGAGAGGAGGCTCGTAGCAATATAAGTCCAAGTGAGACTTGAGGCCTTGTGCAGGTGCGGCTACGTGCCACAGGATTGGCACGAAGGCAGAAAAGGCGGAACAGAAGTGAACTGGCAGAAGAATGAACGCATCTGAATACAAGAAGATACAGTTTAGGAGAGAAACGGATAGTGATGGGTGTGAGGTTGTTTCGAGACAGAATGCACTGGACATCTGCGGTGGGTGGGTAGCCAAATACAGTACGCAGTGAACGGCGAGAGATGCGGGTGAGATAATCATATTCATGTTGTCGCAGACTGTGTACATAAGCATTGCTTGCATATTCCAGTGTAGACTGGACAAAAGAGAGATAAATTGTGCGCCTGGCTGCATTGGTCAACATGGTGCGGCTGCACCGAAATGCATTCACTGTTGCACTAACCTTCTTTCGGAGTGCATCAACTTGCTGACGGAATGTCAAGTGCTCATCACTAATGATGCCAAGATACTTAGCACAAGATGATTGTTCGACCACAGTGCCACAGAACCGCAACTGACGGGATGCCTGCACGGTGGGCTTCCGCAGAACAAGAAACTGAGTCTTTGCCGGGTTTAATTTGAGTTCTCTGGAGTGCAGAAACTCGCTGACTGAGTGCAAGTCTTTCTCAAGCTTTTCAATTGCTGCATCGGCAGTCTTGTCTGCAACATTGACATTTTGTATCATCGGCATAGAGTGGGCTGGTGGAGGAAGCCAAGCATGTTGGAAGAGAGCGTGTGTACGTGGTGAACAGAAGCGGACCAAGTACAGAACCCTGAGGGACACACCAATCATCCAAACACACGCACATACAGTCAGACTCACACTCACAACCACACACTTGGACACATACAATATTATTACAGTTCTTGTGATGAGTCATCACCAGAGGTATCACCAGAGGTATGAGTCATCACGTGAAGTATCACGAGAGGTATGAGTCATCACCAGAGGTATCACCAGAGGTACAAGTCATCACCAGAGGAGAGGTACCACCAGAGGTATGAGTCATCACCAGAGGTATCACCAGAGGTGTGAGTCATCACCAGAGGTATCACCAGCAGTATCACTGATGACTGATGACAGTGGGTCTATTGTTATTATAGGCATTATGCCTGTTTTGATTCCCACTATAAATAAACTTAAAAGTATACAACAACAACAACAACAACAACAACGACTCTGGTGCGGCGGTCAGTGAAGATGCTTTCTAGAATGTTGGCGAGAATGCTAAGTCCAGCGGAGGTTGTTGAAGCTTACGAAATGGACAGGCCACTGTGCGCAATGTGAAGAAGAGCTCAGCGGTCACATGTTGTCAAACGATCAGTGCTGCTAGCTGTGCGGTGATTAATGGATGTGCTGTCTGTTGTTGGCAAGCAATGCAACCCAGTTTGAGCGTGAATCACCAACTTGCAACCAGATAATGACCACGAATAGCATGTGTACAGTTAGTGAAGAATCCTTGTTTCCCCCAGAAATATTACTGTATAGGAGAATCCAAAATTAGCTCATGCCATGCAAACCACAGGCATCCATCATTCGCATTCGCTACTTGCAAGGTGGTCATATTTTGTTTAAATGTGTAAGAAGTACATGTGATGTATATCCAGTACCAGCACCCACGAATACGGATTCAGGAAACGTAAACGTGACAACGTTTACATTCAATTTTCACAACTGGTTTCGCTGGCCACTTGCTCACTCGCGCTGGGGTTATCCTATCGAAAGTACCGGATGGCTATCTCCTTTGTTGTTTGTTTCTTTAGCTTTACCTTACTTCACTATAAAGCACAGGCAAAATCTGCCTTCTTACTGGGCGTATTGCCACAGTTCTCGTAAAATGCTGAAGATAGTGACATAAGCAGAGAAGGAAGAGGAAAATAAAATCATGAATAAGGCACAACAGAGAAGACGGTAACAAGTCAACGAGGGAGTACTACAAATTTTACGAAATTGAATTTGATGAAGTGTTTCACGAAACTGATGCAACGGCGTGCCCTCAACTCGCACTCGGGGAGGCCAAAGCAACTTGCTTGTGGTCCCACCTGCTAGCACTGCTCGTTCTGCTAAGCGCCTAACGCACGCTGGAGCCATTATGTGGAATAGATTGCCACCAGCAGCAAAATGTTCAAATAGGTATTTGGATTTTAAATCTCAAGCCTTGCAGTATATACTATCAGCAACATAAGTTTTCCAATGCTTACTGGATTGATATCTGTTCGTTGCAACCAACCTTCCGTCATTTTTCCTTTCTCTTTTTCTCTTGTATCTACTTTTTTTCCACAATATCCTTTAACATGTTATTCACAGTGGGTCCAATGTTATTAGGCATTTTGCCTGTTTTGATTTCCACTATAAATAAAGTATACAACAACAACGGATCCAAAGGTTCCAGTTTTGAGGGAAGGTTGACAGTTCTCAGTTTTGAGGTATTTCATGACATCCGTCGGCAGAGCCATCAATGCCCCACCATCACCGCTACGTCTGGTGCAGCCCCTGCTCAGTGGTTGTCACGTTTGTCCTGGTCTCAGTACCACTGTCTTTCTCTACTATTTTCTGGCTGGGAATGTGGAACAAAGTATAAAATAAAAATGCAAAATCTCTTCCGTTTACCTTATATGTTTGGTAAGAGCCCCATGGAGCATGTCACTCTGTCTTTTACATATCTTCAAATGCGTTGCGAAACGAAAAATGTCATTGTTGACGCAGATTTGTTGTTGTTGTATTTTATTTATTTTTATTACTTGCATGTACGCGTTGGAGTCAACCATGCAAGCATGATTCACAACTTCGCTTATGCTGAACATGATAAACAGGACTATGACAGGGGAAAACATTGAGCTAGAACGATGATATAATTATGATAATTACTCAATCTGCGTTATGATAATTATATGTAAAAAGGAAAGGACATATGGTACGAGTTAAGAGCAACTCTCCATCACGATAATTATATCATAATAATTATATACAATGTAGCTCATGGGTACTGAAGATATGTCATTTATGAATATGTCTTTAATTATGAATATTGCAGCCTGAGTGATAATAATATCGCTATTTCCTGATTATTGCAGCCTGAGTGATAACAATAGTGCTATTTCCTGAGTTTGACTGTTTCGGGATCTGTCGGAATATCACAATGCACAGACCCTCATGCATAGATCTCGGCATGCGGGTCTGTCATGGGCAATGGCTCGCAGGCTGGCAGGCTCTGCAGAGAGTCTAGGCTCCAGAGCAATCCAGCATTGGCTTGGCGCAGATCTCCCACCATAATAACTACAGTCGCGAAGTGGAAAGCTACACAAGATCGGCAACCAATTTTCACATGCACAGACAATTTGCAAAAAACGTTCCGAACATTCAGGGAGAAGACATTACTTGCATGACACATTGGCAGAACGAACAAGGCAGACTCGAACATTCCAAGATTCTGCAGCCGTTGGGTTTCAGGTGTTGGGTGGCAGCTCCGTTACTGAGGCCGTAGTACAAGTCGTCCAGCTCGACTAGCCGCCGCCAACTAGTCAGCGCAACCTCGGCCACGCGCTTGCATTAGCTCCATACCCGCGTCGACGGAGCTCCGGTTGACCAACAAGCCGAACAGCTGCAAGTCGCGACTCCACAATGACACTGTACTGGCCGTCCGCGTGCTCTAACACTCCGCTCCATTCCCTCTTTAGCCGTTTCGCTGCTAGCCAAGCCCTGCAGGTTACTTTGTTTTCTTGAAGGGTACATACGTCTATGCCGTAGAAAGAGAGGTCTCGACACAAGGAGTTCCTCTTGACGGCCGGCATGAGGCCCCGCACATCGAAAATTCCGACAGCAAATTTTTCTTTTCCTCCGTAAAGCATTCGTTCATCAGCTCGTACCATTGATTCCCGTCGCATCGTCCCGTCACTAATGTCCAATGAAAACTGCTCCCCAGTTGCGCGAGGAGACTAGAGAAATTCCTCCGGTGAACGAGGAAGAAGAGCGGAGTTACCGAATTCAACCAAACTTGTTGGATACTTTATTTATAGTAGAAGTCAAAACAGGCAAAATGCCTAATAACATTGGACCCACTGTGAATAAAATGTTAAAGGATATTATGGAAAAGTAGATACCAGTATAAGAGGAAAAGAGAAAGGAAAGAAAACGGAAGGTTGGTTGCACCGAACAGATATCCATCCAGTGAGCATTGGAAAACCTATGTCGCTGATAATATAATACTGCAGGGTTTGAGATTTGAAATCCAGATTGTAAGTGAGATTGGTTTTCCCCTTGCAATCCCAAGGATCAGAGCGCAAATAGAGTCTAAACTGTTTCAAGAATGCGGTTAGAATGTGCGAGGGCATGGACGTACTTCTTGAAGTAAATCTATGAAGAGTTATATTCGGGAAATTGGGGTACGTTAAATTTTGGTTATGGAAATGATAAAGCTCTGCCAAAGAATATTATGATAATATCACTCCCTTAGTATTGACTCCCATAGATTTTTACCATACCTAAGCAGTCAAATATTCCTGCATATTTCACTCCTTAGGGCTATATTGACCCCTTATATTTGACTCCTTTTTAGCGATTGAACACAGGCTTTGGCTAGTCGTGATAAATCTAGTATTGACTTCGTACTTGGTCAGTATAGGAAATAAAAGACCTCGGCTTTTATTTCCTACATTGACCTCGTACTCAGTAAATATTAGATACTTAGCTCGGTCTTTCTGTTGGCTATTGATTCATTTTATCCAGAGTCTTAAGTGAGTATGGTTTGACAAATCTATCTGACCAAGCATTTACAAATGCATCATCGTTGACTAACCTGTAAGTCGCTCTATTTCTTTTCCATCCGTGCAATACCTTTTAACTTAAAACGCAATGCGTCCACCTGGTCCTTGAAGGTCAGGTTGACAATGCGGTATAAAGGAGAAGGACAAAATGTTACTGGTTACGACTAATTGTCCACCAACCTAGCCAGATCATATACAGTCAGCGAGTGCCACAAAATGGCACAAAACTGACAGGGAGTACTGAGACATTGTCAGTTTTGTGCCATTTTGTGGCACTCGCTGACTGCATTATTATCTGGTGACGTTGATGGACGGATAGTCATAACTAGTAACATTTTGTCCTTTTTTCTTTTTTTATCATTAATGGGCGCACCATCCCAGTTCGACAATGAGGTACTTGGAATTTTGAAGAGATCTAAGGTAGAGCCATCGACAGCTGGCTGTAGGGAGGGACTGTCCAGTAGGATTTGGATTTGATTGGATTTTGTTTTTGAATTCTTTATTCTCACGATGGCACCATCGCCAATAAGAGATAAATTTATGAGAAGGTGAGATTGTGGGTTAAACAGTTGGAAAGTGATTTACATCACTTTGAACTTTACAAGTATGGGTGAGGGTGAGCACTGCAGGAGCAGATTGAGTTAATCAGCAGTGAGCAGATTTCTTGTTTGAAAGCAGGTCGGGAGGAGACGTCAAGAACACTAGCAGGGAGGGCATGTTGTTGATGTTGTTGTTGTTGTTGTTGTTGTTGTTGTTGTTGTTGTTGTTGTTGTTGTTGTTGTTGTTGTTGTTGTTGTTGTTGTTGTTGTTGTTGTTGTTGTTGTTTGAATTCTTTATTCTCACGATGGCACCATCGCCAATAAGAGATAAATTTATGAGAAGATGAGATTGTGGGTTAAACAGTTGGAAAGTGATTTACATCACTTTGAACTTTACAAGTATGGGAGAGGGTGAGCACTGCAGGAGCAGATTGAGTTAATCAGCAGGGAGCAGATTTCTTGTTTGAAAGCAGGTCGGGAGGAGACGTCACGAATGCTAGCAGGGAGGGCATTGTAGTATTCTAGGGACTTGTACAGTGGGGAGTCTTTACAGCGATCGGTTCTGGAGGGTGGGAGGTGCCAAGTGCGTGCGTGTCGAAGGCTGTACTGGGCCGTAACTTGAGCGGGGGTGTTGAGCAAGCGTATGTGTTGTGGGGCATATTGGTATTTTATGGAGTGAGCAAGAAGGGTGAGCTTCACTTTGCGGCGAGAGAACATTGTCGGCCATTTGAGCCGATGGAGCAGTGTTGAATGATCCAGAGGAGTGTAGAGGGGGAGACGGAGGCAGATTCTGGCCGCCTTGCGCTGGATTCGCTCAAGACGGTCAAGGGCTGCGATTGAGAGTGGGGTGACAGCAATGCATGCATATTCAATTATGGGCAGGATATACGTTTTGTAAATGAGAGAGAGTGATTTAGTGTGTAGAGTTGATTTGAGCCTAAAGAGAATATTAAAAGATTTTACAGCTTTCTTTAGCACAAAGTCAAGGTGGGCTGACCATCTTAGGTCGTGCTGAAAGATGATGCCGAGGTGACGATGTTGTGTTACTGTTTCTAGTAGGGTTTGGCCAAGTTTTATTTCGGGTAGTCGTGGTGGGGGTCGGTTAGCATGGTAGAACGGGAGGATGACGGTTTTCGTTTTATTGACTAGCAGGTGCCAGCGCTCTAGCCATTCTGCTGCGGCATCGACGCTTCTTTGTAGCGCAGCCTCACACTCAATGTAGCTGCCTGCAATGGCAATCAGTGCGGTGTCGTCCGCGAACTGGCTACACGAGGTTGTAGCATTTTCACAGGCAGTGGGCAGGTCAATGGTGTACGTCAGGAACAGAAGTGGTCCCAGGACCGAGCCCTGGGGCACTCCCGCTGGTATTGGTATGAAGGCGGATGTTGTGCCTTCAACCTGCACCCGCTGTCTGCGTCCTGTCAAGTAGGCTTCGAGCCAATTGTGAGCCTTGCCATCAACACCGTAGTGGCTCAGCTTTTTCAGCAAGCCTTGATGCCATACACGATCAAAGGCTTTACTGAGATCGAAGAAACACGTTACAACATGCTTCCCCGCATCCCTAGCTGTGGATATCTGGTGGACGATCCGTGCGAGTTGCAGTTCGGTCCCGTCTTGTTTCCTGAAGCCGGATTGGTTGGAGGGTAAGTGCGGTGCTATGTGATTGTACAGACGAGAGTGGACTATTTTTTCTTGTGTTTTTGATATTATACTGAGCAGGGAGATGGGTCGGTAGTTGGTAGGATGGGAGGGGTTGCCCGACTTGGGGATGGGTGTAATAGTTGCGTCTTTCCAATCCTGTGGTATTTCTCCGGTTCTGAAGGACAGATTGTAGAGACTAGTGAGAGATGGGGAGATTTCCTTTGCAGTTTCTTTCAGGAGCCGAGTTGGGATGTTGTCAAAGCCTGGGCTCTTGCCAGTGTCTAGACTGCTTAGAAGCTTCTCGACCTCTTCCACTGTTGCTGCGATTGTATTTAGAGTATGACTGATGTCAGGGGTAGTGTTGATGTCTGGTGTAGTACAGGTGGTCTTGTCGATGGACTGTTGGCTTTGGGAGATAAAGAACTTGTTGAGAGCTGTTGCCTTCTCCATAGCCGTGGCTGCAGTGGAGTTGGCTGTCGATAGTGTGGGAATTGTTTGCTTAGGCGGTTTCTTCAGGTGCTTCAGTAGACGGTGGAGGTTTGTACCCATTGACGTTGTTTGCTGGACAAAATCGGACTTAGCCTGTCGCAAAAGAGCGGTTACTCGGTTACGCTGGGCTGTGTACAGTTTCCAATCTGAGTCTAGTTGGGTCGCCTTGTAGGTGCGGAACTGTTTGTGCTTTAATTTGATCTGGCTGAGGAGATCCTTCGTCATCCAGGGACGAGTGGGCGTAGAATTTTTGCGGGACTTGCTTTTGGTCACTTGGCAGTGGTGCACGGCTAGTTTCAGTATCTGGTCTCTCCAGAAGTTCCAGAATGAGGTTACTGGCTGAGGGTCAGTGGGATGTGGATCGTACTGCAGATTGCAGGTAGCAAGAGCTTCACGCAGGGACGCAATGCATTCCTCGCTCCACAACCAGTATGTGCTGGAGGTGCTTTGCTGTGTAGTACTGCTCTCATTTTTATTATTATCGGTATTATTGTTTTTGTGGGTGGTGTGCTGCTGGGGTTGTAGGTTGCATTGTATGACAACATGATCAGAGGCACCAATAGGGGGCAGGCTTGTGATGGTGATGTTATGGCGGCTGAGGCTAGAGATGGCCAGGTCCAGGCACGATGTAGGTGTGTGTTGGCGTAGGTGGGTGGCAAAGGAGACGTGTTGTGTGAGGCCACGAGTCTCGCACAGCCAATGCAGGTCCTCACCTAAGGCATCAGTGGTGTCGCTGGGGTGCCACAAGCAGTTCTTGGCGTTGAAGTCGCCAAGGAGAAGTATCTCATCCTGGGGTCTTTCAACTAGCTTTATGGCTCTCTCCAGTTCCATCACGAACTCTGCCGGGTCGGACCGCGGGGGACGGTAGATGTTCCCTACCACAAGGGAGGTTAGGCCGATTGTTATTCTAATCCAAATACATTCCGCTTGAGTCATGGGAATGGTAATTGTCTCGTGTTGGCAGCTGTGTGGTATGTATGTGGCGACTCCTCCACCAAAGGTGTCCCGGTCCGCTCTTATGAGTTTGTAGCCGTTGATGGCGTACATCCCGTCGCTGTCCGCTGGATCCGCCCAGGTTTCCTGGATGGCGATTATTGACGGTTGTTGCAACTCTGCCACGTGGCTAAGCTCGTCCATCTTGTTGAACAGACACCTGACGTTCGAGCTGATGAAATTCGCGACTTCCATTTTTTATTTATTTATTTTTGTAATTTGTTTCGTTTTTTTTTTTTGGTATTTCCGCAATTGAAAGTATTGTTCTCACTGATATTGTGTGGAGGACAGCGCTAGGATTGAGTATCCTGTGACACCAGTGCCAGTGGGCTCCGAAGCGTGAGCCCTGTGCTGGGGCAAGGGGTTGGCTTTGGCCAGGGTCGATGTTGTTGCTCTCTGCGTCTGCGACGTCTGGTGCAGAGTTTCCATTCTTCCTCCGCTGCATTGAGCTTCTGCAGGAGTTGTTCGGCGCGAAACCATGTCTCGGCTATTGCGAGAGCGTGAATGCCTCGTGTTGAGATGAGCGTTTGAACTTCTGCTACCTTCCGCCGAACACTACACACATTCAGAAATCCCACACTGAGTGACTCGGTCGGGGAGGTAGGTGGTGCTGTGGGTGTTACATTATAGTTATAGTTCTGCATTTTTTTTTCTTTTTCTTTTCAAGTCACGATTAGACTCTGGCAAGCGGACTAAATCGTGAGCCTGGAGCTAGATTTGTTGGTTTCCGGGAATCCTTCTTCTTCACCCCAGTTGCCAACTCTGGTGAGGACTCAGTGCTGGCATTCCTGCCTCGACGTTCAGGCGTGAACCAAGTGTGGATCGCTTCGGTGTTGATGTTTGATGCCACTTCTGATAGGAGTCGCTCTGTCCGTTCTAGGTCTCGCTCTGCAGGAATGTCTACTTCGACGTCCGTGAGGGGAGTTCTGGGGTGTGCTGTCATGCTTGACAGCGATCCCTGTGCGGACGACATGTCTGGCTCAGTATCTGTCAGGTTTTTCAACGCTGAAGTATCCTCAGTAGTCCCCTCATCGACTTTCGTAGTTTTCAAATTCAAATCCGTTTCGAACACTTCAGTGCTGACTGCGGGTTCTCCAACATTTGACCCCACAGGAGTTGCACTCGTACTACATCCAGTACTCGAGAGAGTACTCGGGCTGGTGCTGGGCCTGCTGGCAGTGCTGCTGCTGGAGCGTGCCGAGTCTGGCGACTCGTTTTGGACTCCGGTCTGTACGGTAAGTTCACCAGGTTGCACTCCGACAGTTGCAGTTGCGCTTGTTCTGGTGTGCGCGGTTTGCTTGGCGTATGTCGTTCCTGTTGCGAGTTTGCAATCTGCAGCGATGTGTCCCGGTTGGGAGCATTTACGACAGGT